TGCCTATGAGGTCAGCAGCCAGTCAACAGGTTGATATTGTGGGCTGGTCCACAGTGACGGCCAAGGGCCCCTTAGTAAACAAATAAAGGTTACAAGCCACGGAAACACAGGTGGGGACAGAGGCAGGATCCACAATCCACAGGAAAGGCTCTGAAGAATGTTTTAAATAGTGCAAGGATCCCCCGGCTCATTTCTTACAAAATAAACACAAATTAAAACTACCCGGAGAGACACATTTCCTGACCGGCAAAGATCAAAAGAGCGGGTTCACCGAGTGGGTGAGGTCACGGTGAACAGGTCCTTTTACACTAGTGGTGGGATCTGAAGTTGATGGACGGAGGGCAACTGGCAGATTTATCACAATTTAAAATGCAGGGTTTTCGGGGGCTGGGGTTGTGGTTCAGAGGTAGAGCGCTTGCCTAGCAAGGGCGAGGCCCTGGGTTCGATCCTCAGCACCACATAAAAATAAGTAAATAAAGACATTGTGTTCATCTATACCTAAAAAATAAATATTAAAAAATATATTGAAAAAATGCAGGGTTTAGGGTGTAGCTCAGTGGCAGAGCACACGCTCGACATGCCTAAGACCCTGGGTTCCATCCCTGCCACCAAAAATATATACCCTTGACTCAGCCATCTCACTTCTAGAAAATTCTGTATTCATGTGTAGTATAAAGTATGTCCACAATTTACTTTAGCAAAGTTTGTAATAACAAAAGATAGAAGCAACCAATATGTGCATCAATAGGGGAATGACTCCATGAACTGACATATATACATAATCAAATATTATGTTGCCCTAAAAAAGGTTAATAATGTTTATGTACTGAGATTGAAGAAGGTGTGATATTAAGTAGGAGAAAAACTCATAACAGCATATAGACTATGCTACCATATAGAGAATAAAAATAAAATATATGTATAAATACAATGTGTATAATATGTATAATGTGCACCTAATCTGCATGCAACACATGTGCGTATTAGGGATGAAGATGTTTTAGTTGAAACGTGCACCCAACATCTTGGGAAGGAACTAAAGAGACTGAAACACCAGGCTGCCTCTGGGGAGCGACGTGGTGGCTTTACTGCGTACACTTTGGTGATTTAGGGTTTTGAGTCACGTAAAGGAATTACTTAATAAAATGATTTACGGGACGATGATGAAAGCAGGATAACAAGTCAGGATGCAGGTGGCCGGGCAGGGGAGGCTGGGGCTGTGGGACAGGCCGGGGACAGGAAGGGGGCAGGCCTGGGTCAGGAAGGAGCGCGGCCAGGAGGGACACGGGCTGGACAGGGAGGGATGCTCTGGAAGGTTCTGAAGGACCTGCTGTCGGCCTCTACGCCTGTCTGCCCCCATGGATGGTGACGGAGAAGGTGAGGTACCTTGTGCCTCCAGGTGTGTGGCCTGGCTAAGGTGCAGAAGGACAGCGTCACCTGCCCGTCCCATATGCTGTGCTTGGCTCATATTTGGGCCATCAATCCATAAACTCCAGAAAGCGGAGTCCTGGGAAAGGGCTGCCGTTTCACCTTCTCACAGTGAGTTCAGGACGTCCCTCCTGGCCTTGCTCCAGGCCTGACACTTCCCCGTGCAGAACCTGAGGTTCCGCAGAGGGATGGGTCCTCCTGAGATGGCAGAGCAGGACAGGATCAGAGTCTCCATGGGCGGAGGGTGGCCTGGTGGATAAGCATACAAGCACCGAAATTCCCGCTCTGTCTCCTTGCTGTGTGATCTTGGGCAGGTCACTTAACTTCACTGAGCCTTGTTTTTTTTCCCTTGGTAATAAAGTGACAGTGGCTGGGTGTGGGGCTGACACCTATAAACCCAGTTACTCCAGAGACTGAGGCAGGAGGATCATGAGTTCAAGACCAGCCTTGGTAACGTAGTGAAACCTTGTCTTAAAAAAAAAAAAAATAAGAAAAGGACTGGGGATGTCGCTTCGTTGTAGATGAAACTGGGTTTAAGTCCCAGTATGGAAAATAAATAAATAAGCCAATCAATGGAAGGACTGGTTCAGGTCACTATTATGATAATGAAAGCACGATAATGAGTCAGGACGCAGTGGACAAGTCCCCCCAGCACCCACACAGCAGGTACTGGTCTAGCAGCTGTGCCTGTTACTCTGGGGGAGCCTGAGGCGGTTGTCATTTTGGGGGTTCTCTTTAAGAATGGAATATTATAAATGCAAACTATGGTGCAATCTCAGCCACAGGAGAGGCTGAGGCACAGGATCGAAACTTGGCAAGACCCTGTCTCAAGAAAACAAAGGGGACGTAGCTCAGTGGCAGGGCGCTCCTGGGTTGGTACCCAGTCCTGAACAGGGAGCCGGGAGCTGTCTAGGCCTGGGCAGGGCGCAGGGACATCCACCCTGGCTCTGACCCTAGGGCTCCCCCTAGGGGCACATTGTGGGTTTTCTTCATTTATAACTGGAACCCCGCACAGGGCTGGCTGCAGGTCAGTTAAGAAATATCCCATCCCCACCCCATGAAAATACAAGGGAGATGGTGGAGTAGAGGAGGGGTGGAGGAGGGATGGGAGGAGGGATGGGAGGAGGGATGGGAGGAGGGGATGGAGGAGGGGGGAGGAGGGATAAGAGGAGGAGAGGGTGGAGGGGTGGAGGAGGGATGGGAGGAGGGATGGGAGGAGGGGAGGGCGGAGGGGATGGAGAAGGGATGGAGGAGGGATGGGAGGAGGGAAGACCTGGGGAAGGACTCTGACCCGACTTCTCTGTGTACCTATGTGAACACACTACAGTGAATGTCACCTTTATGTACATCTACAAGTCCCTGATTTTAAAAATATGTATAAATAGAAGAAAGAGCAGTAAAGGAAAGGGGGGGGAGGAAGACAGGGAAGGGGAAGTACTGCAGACTGATCAGAACACACTGTACCCCGCGCTTGCATCATTAGGCTAAAACGAACCCCAATATTGTGTGAATCTAAAATGAACCAATAAACCATAATTTAATTTCAAATATCTCCCCTGGCTCCTCCTTGTCTCAAAGGGGCCACCTGCAGCTGCTCTAGGCCCGCAGCATCCTGACGACCCCCCACCTTTCCCTCTGGGCTCCTCTGCCCCGGGGTTCTTTCTTCTAAGTCTCACAGGGAGCAGAGGCGGCTCAGAGAGGGCAAGCCACCAGCTCAGGGCTGTGCACCCCGCACCGCTGGAGTGAGAACTGACGCCCGGGACTTGGGACTCCACCTCTGGCTGCTGGGCAAGCCCTGAGGTCACTCCTGGTACCCCCCACCCACCACAGCCCCTCTGGTGGCCCGTTCTGTAGGCTTGCTCTCAGAAACCTGTCCAGAACCCAGCTGCTCCTCACCACCTCCATGGCTAGCGTGTGGTTCAGGCCATGACAAGCATGGTGGCCCTCTCCTGCCGCTTCCGGCCTCCACAATCACCCTGACATCCTGCTTTCACACAGCAGCCAGGGCCCCCTGGTAACATATAATTCGGATTATGTCATCCCTCTGCCCCAAACCCCTGCAGAGGCCCCAGCCCGCTCAGAGGGAAGTGAAACCCTTCCAGTTATCTGCACCTCCAGTATCTCTCACTCCTGTCTCCCATCTCATTTCTTGCAGCCACATGGCTGTCCCATGCTGTTCCTTGAAGATCCCATGACATTCCTACCTCAGGGCCTTTGTACTTGCTGTCCCGCTGCCTAAGACATCCTTTTCTTGCCTGACTCACTTCCACATCTCCTCCAGGGAACACTTGCTCAAGGGTCACCTTCTCCGAAAGGCCTTCTCTGAACATCTTGTAGAAAGGAGAGTCCCTCTCATCTGATGTGGAGATAATGCCCTCCATAGCATGCATATTTATGAGAATGTCTACTCCACACAGCAGGGACTTTGTTCACTGCTGAATCCCTAGTACACAGATCAGTCCTGGGCACAAAACACATGCTCATAAATTGGTGACAGGTGCCTGGATGGACGGACTCCCAAGCCTGTGATCCTTCCAATACCTGTCACATCCAAGACATAAAATCTCAAGTGGACAGAGGAGCCAGTTCCACAAAAATGGATTGATCACTGACCTCAAGAAGTTTTTGTGGAAATTAAATGTTCTATAGTCGTTAACAATTAACGTTTTTTATAGTGGTGGGGATGGAACCCAGGTCCTGGAGCATGCCAGGCAACTGCTATACCACTGAGCTACACCTCCAGTCCAGAACTATTATCTTGTGAGCAGTTAGTATGTGCCAGGTACCCGTCACATCAGCCCTATGACATAGGCACTAGTCCCCTCATGTTATAGATAAGCCTTGGCTCAGAGAGGTTCAGTGACTTCCCCAATGAAACACAGGCCCAGCAGGTCTGACCACTGCTCTTCCGTAGGGCTGCCCAGGAGGCTACGCTCCACCTCGCTGCTGTGGAGGGGCAGCACCCAGGAAGCCCTGAGCCTGCTCAAGGATGACGTGCTGGTGGTGGACCCAGGAACCAGGTGAGGCGGTGCCCTGATACCAGCCACATGTCAGGTACCTCCTGAAGAGACACACACACCTGTGAACAATCCTGGAGGGTCAGGGTCAGCAGAGACCTGGGACATCCCTGAACAGTCCCTATCACCAAGGCCTCCAGCGGGAGGCAGAGCTGGCTCGGGGGAGCTGGACCCAGAACCCAGTTCCTTCCATTCATCAGCTCAACAGCGATCAAGCACCTTCCCCCCAATTTCTCTTTGCTTCTCCCAGTGCCGAATCTCGGGGCCCTCTTCCCCTGAGGGAGAGAGGATCCAACTGAAGTGGACATAGGCTGGGGTCCTCCTTCCAACTCTGCTCTCACTTGTCCTGTGACCTTGGGGGAGGCACTTGACCTTGTGAACCTCATGGTCCTCCTCTGTAGAAGCAAGGCTGCAGGCTTGGAGTCAGGCGAGCCCATCTCATCCATCCTGGGACTTCCTAGGGCACTATCTTAGAGATCTGAGACTGCATCGCTTTTACTGACTATTGGTGAATGTCATGCACTGGCGGAAGGAGAGTGAGACTCATGTTTGATGGTCCTTGGGCTACATGGTCATTATTTCTGGCCCCGCCCCATTAATAGTCTACAACTTTAATCTTCCATTTGACAAAGTAAATCATAATAAAAGTGTAAGGCACCAGTAAGATCTGTTTTACCACTTTCCCCCATGTCCTGCTGAGCCAGCTCTCCTCCAGCTGTCCTGTGCCCCGGGCAGTTTCCTGCTCCTCTCTGGGCTGAGTCTTTCCAGACCTGAAATGGAGAGTTACTTCCAGTGACTTCTTAAGTCTCTTCTGGGTCTGATGCAATGAAGCGGGTTCCTTCCGGGTGGCATGTCAGACAGCCTGGGCTGGTGGAAGGGGCTAACCAGGGTCTGGAGAAGTCTGCCCAGAGTCTGACTGTGATTTCCACTGCCCTCCTAACAGATGCCATTACAGCACGATGGCCTTCTCCCTCCTGGCCCACGTCCTGGCAGCCCACACCCCGCAGGGTGACTACCAGCGCTGGATCTCAGAGAACGTGCTGGAGCCTCTGGGGATGGGGGACACGGGCTTCGACCTCACGCCCTCGGTGCGCGCCCGACTAGCGGCCGGCTTCTACGGCAGCGGGCGGCCGGCCCCGCTCTACGACCTGGGCTGGTACCGTCCGTCGGGACAGATGTACTCGACCCCCGCGGACCTGGCCAAGCTGGCCATGGCGCTCCTGGGCAGTGGGCCCCAGCGGCTCCTGCGGCCCGACGCGGCCAAGACGCTGCTGGCGCCGCTGCTGGCCTGCCCCGGGGCCTACTTCGCCAACCAGACGGGCACGCCCTGGGAGTTCCACGCGCAGCGCGGCTACCGCGTGGTGCGCAAGGACGGCGACCTGGACGGCTACGCCGCCACCTTCTCGCTGGTGCCCCCGCTGCGCCTGGGCCTCGTGCTGCTGCTGGCCGGGCCGCGGCCGCCCGGGCCCGACCTGGTGGCGCAGGCCTACGACGTGCTCCTGCCGGCCATGGAGAGGGCCCTCCGGGAGGCCGAGCGCAGCCCCGCCCCGCCGCCCAGCGCGCGCCCCTTCGCCGGCTACTTCACCTTCGCCAACCGGACCTTCTACCAGGTGCACGCGGGGCCGGCGGGCGAGCTGCGCCTGCGCCAGTTCGGGCCCCGCGTCGAGGCGCTGGTGCCCCCCGCGTTCCGCACGTTGGCGCTGCGCCACGTGCGCGGGCGCGTCTTCCAGCTGCACGTGGCCCGCGAGTTCCCGTGCGCGCTGCCGCTCGGCGACGCCTGGCTCTCGCTGGAAGCCCAGCACGGGCAGCTGGTCAACTTCTACCCGTTGGACGGCCACGGGCTGTCCCCCGGCTTCGACGTGCCCGGCCTGAACACGTACCAGGTGCTGCGTGTGCAGCACAAGCCGGCGTTCAAGGCCCAGTGAGCCCCCTGGGGTCTGGAGCCTCCTTTCCCCTGACCTCCAGCTTGCCCGCCTGGGCCTGGAGACAGGAGTCCGCAGGGGTGTCTGGTAGAGAACCCGAGTAGTTGTCAAAGTGGGGTCCTCAGCCCTCGGACAGTTGGCCGACTGTCCATTGTCCGAGGGGGAGGAGAAATTAAGTACCGGGATGTAGAGTAAGCATTTAGAAATGTAAGCCTTGACGTAGTACCTCTGTGTCTGTTGGGATTAAGGCAAGATAAGGGGTTGTATTTTGTCTTTTAAAAATCAACCTTATCCGATCATCATTTACTTAAAATAAAACACACCATCCAGGGATGATTGGGATGATTTTTTAAATTTAATTTTTTTTTTTTTTTTGCAGTGGTGGGGATCAAACGCAGGGCACATCGTGCAGGCTGCGCACTCTGCCACTGAGCTGCACCCCCCACCCCTATTGGATGATCGTGACAGATATTTATACCCACCACCACAATCAAGATATAGGAAATTTCCACCCCTCCTATTCCTTTGCAGGCAGGTCCCTCCCCCTCCCAGCCCCAGGCAACCACTGATCTGCTTTCTGTCACTGTGGATTAGTTTCGCCTGTTTAAGAATTTCACATAAATGGAATCATACAGTGTAGTCTTTTGTGCCAGTCGGCTTTTGCTCAGCATGCTGTTTCTGAGGTTCATGTCTTTGCCTGTATCAATAGTTTGTTCCTTTGTATTCCACAGTATAGATATGCCACACTTTGTTTATCCTTTCACCTGTTGATGGACATTTGGGCCGTTTCCAGATGGGGCTATTATGAAAGGGCATTCTTGTACAAGTCCTTTTGTGAATGCATGCTTTCATTTCTCTTGGATAAATTTCTAGGTGTGACTGTCTTGCAGTTTTCCAAAGCACTTGTACCATTTTACATCCCTAAACAGCATATCTCACTGTGGTTTTAACTGTGTTGTATTTATTGATTTGTAAAAGCTCTTTATATACTATAGACATAAATCCTTTGTCAAATATATGTATTGCAAATGTTTTCTTCCAGTTTTTGGCTTGACTTTTCATTTTCTTTTCTATTCTTTTTTTTTTTTTTGGTACCAGGGATTGAACCCGGGGGTACTTAACCACTGTGCTGCGTCCTGGTTCCCAGCCCTTCTTATTTTTAAATTTTGAGACAGGGTCTCACTGAGTTGCTTCGGGCCTTGCTGAGGCTGGCTTTGAACTTTTGAACTCCTCCTATCTCAGCCTCTGGAGCCGATGGGATTTCAGCCACAGCACCCTGCGACTTTCATTTTCTTAATGTTGTGTTTTGAAGAGCAGAGTTTTAACATTTTGACGAATTTTATGTCTGTTGAGTCTAATACAGAATTTGGGCTTGTATTTTGCATGTCTTTTTTTAAAAACAGTAAACTTTATTTTGAGATAATGATAGATCCACAGGCAAGTGTCAGAAAGAGTCAGTGTGTCGACACCTGCCCCGGGTTCCTCCAGTGTGGGCATTTGGTAAAACAATGGGAAGCAAGATATTAGTAGAGCACGGTCAAGATCCAGGAGAGCTACTTTAGCAGGAAAGACCCTCCTTCCCCTTTCCTGGCCACACCCACTAACTTAGCAGTCCTACCCTCTCCTTAGCCCTTGGCACCCACCAATCTGTTCTCCAGTTCAGAAATTTTGTCATTTCAAGAAAAGCATACAAATGGAGTCTGTGGTATGAGAGGTTTTTGGGACCCTCTCCCACTCCTGGTAATTCTCAAGTTGCTGGAGGTCTTTGTATTTTCTTTTCTTAGTAGTGGTTTCTTGGAGTTAGCGCAAATGTCTAACCATTTGCTTGTTGAAGGACATCTGGGTTGTTTTCAGTCTGGGGCTGTCAAGAACAAAGTTGCTTACAATTTGTTTACAGGCCTTTATGTGAACTTGTTCCTATTTCTCTGGGATAAATGCCCAGGAGTGCAATGATGGGTCAAATGGTAGTTATAGGCTTCGTTACTGCCAAACTGTTCTAGGGTGGCTGTACCCAGCTGGGGGGTGTGGCTCAGGGGTAGTGTGAGGACCTAGGTTCCACAAAAATAAGAGTGCCCCTACCATTTTACTTTCCAGTCAGCGGTGTATGAGGGATCATTGCCACACGGTTTTGTCAACATTTGGTAATCACTCTATTTTATTTTGGTAATTTTAATAGATGTGTAGTGACATATCATGGTGGTTTTAATTTGCCTTTTCCTTTTTTTTTTAAATAGGGTTTTTGTTTGTTTGTTTTATTTATTTTTTAGTTTTCAGCAGACACAACATCTTTGTATGTGGTGCTGAGGATCGAACCCGGGCCGCACGCATATCAGGCAAACGCGTTACTGCTTGAGCCACATCCCCAGCCCTGCCTTTTCCTTATAGCTATTGAAGTTGAACATCTTCATGAGCTTTTTGTTTTCTTGCCATCTGGATAGCCTCTTTAGTGAAATCTCTCTTTATGTTCTTTGCCAATCTTCTAATTGGGCTGAAAGATTGTTTAGTTTTGAAGGCTCTTTACATATTCTGGATATGGTCCTTTGTCAAATATATAGTTTCCAAGTATTTTCTAATTAGTAGTTTGTCTTTTCATCCTCCTAGGATCTTCTGCAAAGCATTGTTTAAAATTTTTGCTCAAGTCCAATTGTGATAGGCTGAATAATGGTTCCTCAAAAGATGCACTTGTGGCTGGGGGTGCTGGTGCACCCCTGGAATCCCAGTGATTTGGGAGGCTAAGGCAGGAGGATCATAATGAGTTCAAGGCCAGCCTCAGCAATTTAGTGAGATTCTGTCTTAAAAAATAAAATAAAAGGGCTGGGGATGTGTAGCTCAGTGGTGGAGCACTCCTGGGTGGTTCTATCCCCAATACTGCAAATAAACAAATAAATAAAGCCATACATGTTCTCATCTTTGGAACCTGTGCATGTTACATTCTACAGCAAAAACAGGACTTTGCAGTTCGTGTTTAACGATTTTGAGATGACGAGATTGTCCTGCATTATTGGAGTCCTCAATGCAATTGCAAATTTCCTTGTAAAAGAGTTGCACAGGATGGTTCAACTCAGAAGAGGAGAAGGCAGTATGACTACATAGGCAGAGGTTGAAATGACGCAACCGCAAACCAGGAGATCCTGGCAGCCGCCAGCACTAAAGGGCGGATTCTCTCCTACAGCCAACAGAGGGAGTGCAGCCCTGCTGACCCCTTGGTCTGGCCCAGTGGCACTCATTCCAGACTGCTAGTCCTCAGAACTGTGAGAGTCCATTGTTTAAAAACCATCAATTTTGTAGTAATCCGTTACAGTGGCCATGAACCCAAATAAACCAAACTTATCATTCTCTTCTCTTGTGGGTCTTTGCTTTGGGTGCCAAGTCTCTGAACTCTACCTACCTCTAGTTCCCAAAGATTTTCTCCTATGAGATTTTCTAAATGTTTTATCATTTTGTAGCTTATAAAGTTTGTGAGCCCTTTGGAATTAATCTTTGTATAAGACGTGCGGTTTAGACTGGAATCCACATTTCCGCCTATGGATGTTGCTCTGGTTTAGATAAGTGTCCTCCAGACGCACATGTGTTGGCTGGGGTGTGGCTCAGTGGGTAGACCGCTTGCCCAGCATGTGTGAGGCACTGGGTTCAATTCTCAGCACCACATAAAAATAAATGAATAAAATAAAGGTTCATCTAAAAAACTATCTTAAGAAAATGCGCATGTGTTAAAGTCTTGGTCACCAGACAATTGGTGCTACTTGGAGACAGTGGAACTTTTTTTTTTCTTTAATTTTGTGGTGCTGGGGATTGAACCCAGGGCCTGCGCAGGTGAGGCAAGCACTCTACCAACCGAGCTATCTCCCCAGCCCAGATGGTAGGACTTTAAGAGGTGAGATCCTCCAGTCATTCGGGAGCATGTCCTGGATGGGGATCCCGGGCCCTGGCTCCTCGTCTTTCTCTTTCACTTCCCTGATGCTGTGAGGTGAGCAGATTCCTCCACCCCACATTCCTACCACGAAGCATTACTGTCTCACTACAGGCCCCAAGCAACAGAACAAGTGATCATAGGCTTAAAGACCCCAACTGTGAGCCATGATAAACCTTTTCTCTTTAGTGATTTCATGTATTCTGTTACAGTAACAGAAAGCTGGTCAACACAGATGTCCCGTTACTCCAGCACCATTTGTTGAAATGGCCATCCTCCGTTGAATGCCTTTGACACATTAACAAAAAATTATTTGGACACACACGGGTCTGTCTCTAGCTTCTCTGTCCCATTCCGTTGTTCTCTGTGTCTGTCACTCCATCGATACAACATAGTTTTGATGACTAGAGTTATATTTTCTTGTTATCTTAGTACTCTTGCTTTCTAGTTTGATTCCATTCTGACCAGAGAATACACGTTGTGTGATTTTAATCCCTATGCAATCTGCTGAGGTTTGTGCTGACCTGCTCTTCCTCATTCCGCTCTGCGACTTACATTGATAGTTTGAGTATTTACACCATGGAACGTGGCAGTCGTAACAAATCAGGGATTGATTATTTTTTTCTTGTTTTGTCGACTTTCTAGAGCTGAGAAAGTGTGATGGATAAAAGGTGAATGTGGATCAAACTCCACACTGCACGTGAGCATAGCCACTAGGCTGTGACCAGCACAGGACAAGTGAGGAAATATTCTTCCAGTATTTGAAAAATAAAAACATCACCTGATTCAAGAGAGAAGGTTCCCATGTCATAAGGGATTAGTGAAGTTCCACCATAATAATCATTGTTTTACTTATTTGGCCCCTTCAATGACAATTGTCGACAGTATTTATGAACTATACTTGAAGAACACTTAAGACTTCACACCTGAGAAGAACCATCTCTGGAAGGTTGTGAGCATCAGTTGATAAAGTGTACATGGTAAAGGTGTCAGAGGTGGTCATCTCGGCCAGCTGTTCCCTCCCAGAGCCACCTCTGATAAGCTGGAAGTCTAGAGACAAACAGCAGGCTGGCTAGGTAACTACAGCCTCCAGATGAATTTCCTAGCCCTTCATCTCAGCCAGGTTGCTTTATTTTGTTGAGAAATCCAAAGTTAGAAACCTGAACCTGAGATATGGTATTAATAAGTCGGGACTGGGGATTTTATTTTTAAACTGGGGATTGAGCTCAGGGATGCTCTACCACCCAGCTATATCTGCACTCCTTTTTATTTTTTATTTTGAGACAAGGTCTTGCTAAGTTGCTTAGGTCTCGCTAATTTGCTGAGACTGGCCCCAAACTTGTGATCCTCCTGCCTCAGCCTCTCAAGCCACTGGGATTACAAGTGTATACTACCTCGCCTGGCAGGAGTGGGGATCTTAAAGGGGTACCTGGGGCTGTCGATGAGGGGAGACCCTTAGGCTCAGCCTGTCCCATCACTATGCAGGTGGGACTGCACAGCTTATGGTGTGGTTCCGTCCCGGATAGACCCAGCATGCGCTGAAAACATCCTAGTTGAAAGTACACACTTCACACACCTAGTTTAGTGAACATCATAACGTTAGTGAGGCGGTGCTCTATAGAGCGTGGGTTGTTCTCCCCACTCCCATGTGATCGGGTGACTAACTGGAATCCGGGCTTGCTGCCACTGCCTGGCATTGCCAGAGAGTATCGTGCAGCATATCGCCTGCCCCAGAAAAGATCAAAATTCAAAAAAGTGGCGTTTGTGCTGAATGCATGTCTCTCTCACACCATGGTAAAAATAGAAGACTCCTGGGGCTGGGGATGTGGCTCAAGCGGTAGCGTGCTCGCCTGGCATGCGTGCGGCCCGGGTTCGATCCTCAGTACCACATACCAACAAAAGATGTTGTGTCCGCCGAAAACTAAAAAATAAATATTAAAAAAAAAAAAATAGAAGACTCCTGAGTCGAGCCACTGCAAGTCTGGGACCATCTATGCCTCCAACTCCCCAAGCCAGGCCTGAGTCCCTGCTGACAGGCGCTGCTTCTCTGGGTCTCGGCTCTGGCCTGTTAGCAGGCCCGGCCACCAGGGGGCAGAGTGGCTCCACAGAAAGAAGGCAGGCCTGGCTCAGGCT